GTTTAACTAGTGGCTGTTAAACTATACCGCCTTGAACAAAATAGACACAATAAACCTACTACATTATCTACGTAACAGTTTAATATAGTCTTCAAGCGGACAAATTTCGCGCTGAAAACAAACTTGGCAGCAATTTAACAACACATAAGCAATGTTAGCTAATTTACTAAATGTCAACACGATGCTAGCGATGCTCTAGCTGCGTCAACACCACCTCATCCCCCAAGGATTTTGACTCGACAGAGTGCGTGTCAGTACTTCAGAAACTGTGGCGTTTTATAGAAAGACGACGCCGAGTGGCTTTATCTCAGCTACCTCTCCCTTTGTCCCGCCTTTATTACTCAAAGCATGACGAATTTCCCTGAACTAACCACACCCGTGTGTACTTAGGTAAACAACCCGCAATGGAAAATATACGGAGCTCTGCTGGATTCAGGGATAATGTTTTGTACTACGCAAACAAACAAACAAACAAACTTACTCAGTTTTCCGTTCGAAACATTTCAGATAACTTCCATCGATTCAAACGAGATTTGTTACTGAAGTTAAACCAGTTAAGTGTGTAACATTAAATCCCTCTAGTCTAATCCCAGTAGTATTTCAAACTACTGTACCAGTGGATGTGTGGGTCATGATATATGTATGTTTTGGGTGCCCCAGGATTGAAGAGAGCAATTCATTTTCAGCATATTAATAATTTGTTGTGTTCATGGTTGCTTGCTGCTCCCTGCTCTTTGGCTATGTTGACAGATGTTAGCACTGCTAGATTTATTTGACACCACAGCGTTAGTACAGCAGGGATGTTAAAACTGCCTCAAGGATGCAGTGTTGGCCTAAAGCTTGGCACATTATGTAGAAGTAGCATTTGTACTGTTTACCTTGCAATCATTGCAATGCCATGAAAACTTTATAGCATTGTAAAATTCATCTTCATAATATTGCAGATTGCTTAACAACATTCTGGTGTCTAATATGTAGGGCTGCAACTACCAATTATTGTCAGTTGAAGAACTGAATAATCTATTGGAAGAAACACACCCAGGTCCACTTGGCCTCTTCTACCTTTTTTTTTCTTTCAGAAACCCTTATGTGCACAAAATCCACATATTGGATTAAGCCAGGCTTTTCCAGTTATCCTGGCTGAATATAGCTGTGATTCGGTTACACAAAAGCAGTGGCACATAAATTACCAAGGAGACATACAGAGAATGTGAAGTTGTCCTCATGCCATGTTGAATTTTGGGTAAATGCTCCATTTTTAGGAATACTAATGATCATTGTCACTCATAGATATATACACTGCATACATCTGTAAATTATAAAAAAAATCCCATATAGCTACATACATTAGTGGATGCTGAATTGTATGCCTCACGCATCTTCCGAGCAGGGTGTGCTATTTGTGCTGGTTGGATGTGGTCTCCATTCATTGTAACTACACTACTTAACAAGTGGCATGCTGGCACAGGCAAATGGAATGGAGCTTCTATGTCAGCATCAGTGAATCTGTGATCGACCTCGTGGTCTGTTGAAGAAAGCTGTGAAGTGCATTCATCTGAAATACTAGGATAGCACCTCCTCAACCTGGCCTAACCTTCATGAAATGTACTGAGCCAGGATGCTCTTGGTAGACTAGATCAATATGTTATCCTGGATTTCTTAATCCTGCTTTTGTATGGACAATACCATAGAGCGTCAGTGCTGTTATTGCCTACTTTGTGCATACAACAGAGCGTTCAATATCCAAGATGATGTTTGCAGGTGTTCAAAATCACATTCTGTTTATTATCAGAGGCTACAGAAACCAGAAAATGTTTACACTTAAAAAGCCAAAACCATAAAATGTACATATTTTATTAATGTATATTAATTTTCATATCATTGTGCATTTAACTGCTGCATTGTCACACAGCAATAATGTAACTGATAGCAATAAAAACAGGCATGATGTTGGCTGAAATACAAATGTGACATTTGAAAACTTTGTTACAGAGTTGGACAAAATGTCAGATTCAGACTCTGATGCTGAATATTTTTCCTTCGAAGACTTCAGACACCAGATGGATTTTGTGAGTTAATAACACATAATCAAAATAAGAGTGTTTAGCCAACTCGCTTCTTTCTATATGTCACTCAAACTGTTCTTTCCTTTTGGCCACACAGAGAAATACATTTATCACCTTCTGTCCATCAGGTAAGGAGCATTTGAAGTGAACTGCTTTTTTTTTCCCCAAAAATACGGAGAAATGGATTTGTTCATTAAGCACATATTGTGCAGTATGTTATTTATTTATTTTTTGATTAAGGTTTTGAGTCCAACATCAAGATTTTGGTTAGAAACCCTCTCTATTTTTATTAGTCATGATGAGGTTTCACATTGCAATCCAGTAACCAGTTATTAGTTGAATTTTAATGTTAAACAATAAACAAATGCTGTGAAATCCTTTAATCTACATTCTTTACTTTTTGGAAAATATAAATAAAGCAGTTGACTATGGAACAAATGAATAATGGAACATCTCTTGCTGGTTGTTGCACAACATTTGGCCTGTCTTTCACAATTGGGTGTGTGAATTCCTCTGAACTGGGTGAAAATTTTCTGTATGTTTTTGTTTTTTAGAGGAGGCTTTGAAGCAGTGGAGCCATATCCCTCGTGATACCAAAAAAGAGGCCACACAGCGGATGAAAATATGTTCCTTCTGGCTTCCTATTCTCCTGCAGCGTGAGGAGTCCAATGCCGCCACTTGCTGGGCTGTTGAAATAGGTCTAATCAGCTCCAAGTAAGTATAACTGCAATTGGAATCTGAAATTTTCCTTGACCCCCAGTTGATAGCATTTGAAATCTTCACTTTTTTAGATTGTTCAAGAAATTGAAACTGTCCTCTTCTAGGGACCATGAAGACCTAAGTCTGAAGCAGCTGCACAAGATAGAAACTGTGGAAGCAATCCTCAGAGCCTTGGAGAAAGGAAGTGTAAGTTGATTATGTAGCGGTTTGGTCTAAGGCTCCTTTCACTCACAGCCTGACACCAGGGAGGGAGGATGTCCTTGGGAAGGTAAATGTGTGAACAGGGCTTAAATCAGCAGCACAACATACATATTTTTATAGTGGAACTAGGAATTTGTCATGATGGTAAACCCAATAAACAATGCATTAGTGGGGAAATTTGTACAAATGGGCTCTAACATATTTTGACCTATAGATATCATTAATATAAAATAAATTGTATTATGGCTTTGATGTAAATGTTACTTTCTTAGAAAAAAGATACAGTGACTTCATTTTAGTTTAGAGATTTCAGATTGTTGCTGCCATTTTATTTAGCATGTGTATGAAAAGAATTATAGACCCCTTTCCTTTTTGGACACTTCATTGATTAGTACATTTAAAAATAAATGTATAAAATTGTACCCATACTGACGCGGCTGGAGACAGTCTGCCATGAAGACTGGGATAAACTACCCAAATTCAGGTGTGAAAAGCTTGTTAAGACTCAAGAAGGCTTAAAGCTATAGTGCCAAAGGGGCTTCTAAGAGTTAGGGGTCTGAATTCTTTGGTAAATGAGATATTTCATCTTTTCGTTTAATATACATTTCCAAAGATTTCTAGAAACATGTTTTCACTTGTCCTTATGGGTAGATTGGTGGGGAAAATGGCATGTTTTAGGACAGTGTGTAAAATGTCTGAAGCGACTGTATAAATTACTTTGAACCTCTTAAATCTACCACTTCAGCAGCGATATTTTTTGGGGCTACATCCAGGTTGCAAATATCAATTTTAGCACCACCTTTCTCACATAAACAATGTTAAGGCTTACTTGCAGTTTTATGTGTAATAGTCTCAGTATACAAGTCATCTGTAATAATGTAAAACAGACAAACACACATATTATTGAGCACTGAAGAGAAGAGGGTAGATTGAAGTGTTGTTAATCATCATGACATTGGTATTTCACTGCTGATTTTGATCTAAACTGCTTGTTCTCTGTTCTAGTTGAAAATGGACCAAACAAAGCACATTTTCATGATAAGCAACATGTTTAACTTGGCAAGTATGAAAAGAATGATTGTATATATTGTATTGCAGTGTTTCTCATACATTAACTTATTTGTGGCGGGTTGCCACAATATTAACATTGATTGCCACATGTTTTAAAATACATAGGTTAAATCTGATTTCAATGTAGTACTGTGTGTAATACATGTATTCGCTCAGTTCTTGCCCTGCTTTTTGTTTTCTGTCACACACACAAACACATGACAACCATGGCAGTGGACTGTCTGGGAACAGCTCCCCCTCTCCATGGTTTATTTTTGCATTACAGTAGTTGATCGGTTCTGTATGTGACATTTTTGTCTGAGTGTGATTTTTCTATTTTCAGCGTTCCAGTGGGGCTTTTGAGGATGCGTTATATTTGTTGGAGCGAACAGAAGAACTTGATATTCGCGGTCGCATCATGGAGTTTGGTCATATGCATACCTGCCACACAGTCCTACATTTTGTCTTCACAGAGTGTAAGATGCAGTCACACTACAGTTCACACAGACTGGTCTGCTACTGGTCTGCATCTCTGACATTAACAGAAGTTACTGTGTCTTGTAGCTTCAGCTGTTAGGGGATTTTACTTTTACTTTTATGAACTCTGCATTTCAGCTAACTGATAGCACAGAAATATGTGGTTTTGCTTTGTGCAAACACTGTAGCTTCTAGAAGTGAATTCATATCAGTGAGGCTTTTAAATCTGTGTGTAAATAAATCCCTTTCTTCTGCTTTCACACAGTTGCTAAGTATATTCAGGACATGAGCAATAACTTGGAGAGGACAATGAAGTCACTGATGGCTTGTCCGCCTGAGTATCTCATAGAGGTGAGGCACAACAAACATGATCTACAGGCTGTCATCATGAATTGAATCAAATCAAACAAATTTAATTCAGTCAAGACATCAGTATCGATATTCAGCTGTATTAAGTACGGTTTTGCCATTATCTGTTTTCTCCACTTTCATCATAATGGCAACAATAGCCAGGTTTACTGATCAACATGTGGCCTTGTACTCATCCAGAGGGATGAGTACGAGGCGCACACTGCTGAAATTTGAATTTGGACAAATGACCTGTTTTTGGACCACTTTTGGAAAGAAACGTGGCACTACTAAACTCTAATACTAAAATGTTAGGGCAGATGCCGGTGTAAATAAAATGTGGAATTGTCTTGTTCCTCATTCAGAAAAGTGAAGGAATGAAGAAGAAAGGAAATGAGAGCTTTCAGAAACAGCAGTATGACGATGCTGTGAGGTTTTATACCAAAGCCATCAAATATTAGTAAGTAATATTTTCTTTAGAAGTGACCTTTTCTCAAAAATTATTATTTTTTTCAGTTATAAATATGTTGTATAGGGTGTTGAAAATTTTCTAATGTCTTTGTTTTTTTTTACCAGTTTGAAAGATCTGTTTATTTGGTCCAAATCTATAATAATCAATAAAATGGAATCACCGTGCAATTAATCCCTGTCTTTGTGAAGCTTATGCATTTGAGTTTTTGACACTGCATTTAATTAATACATGAAGGGCACAGAATATTAGAAACCCCTCTCAACACTACACGGAGTGATTGTATTTGATTGTGTAGGTATAACCGATAAACCGGTAAATCTGCACTTTTTATAATTTTGTTTGGAAATACTGACAAGCCAAAGGGTACAGTGAACATAGACCTATACTAAAATTTCTTTTTTTGAAATACCCAAGGAACAAATTGTTCACCCAACCAAGATAGAGAGCAAGAATAATGTTACTTATGGGAATTTAAAAAAGAGTAAATGCATAACAATTGAAATACAGAATAGAATAAAAACATGAACATCTTCATATTTAGTTATGCACAATGTTATGTATACACATGTATCTATAAATGCATACATGGCTTCATTTAAATCAGTCTGTAAAATAAATCTATCTGAAAACGTGTCTTCTCCCTCCAGCCCTGACAACCACATAATTTATGGAAACAGAGCCCTATGCTATATCCGATGTAAGAAGTATCTGTAAGTACCACTTATTCTCATGTACCTTTCACTTTTTAGAAATTAATACAAGGAAGCTAAGACCTTGAGGGAATTTCTTCAGATTTAGCACAAACGTTCATGTGGATTAGATACTGGTGGTCAGAGGTCAAGGTCACAGTATCCTCATCATGTTTGTCTAAAAGATACAAGGCTTAAGAAATGTTTTAAATCAAGCATCTTATTGTATTCTTTTATTTTTTATTTTACAGAAAAGCGCTTGGTGATGGAAAACGTGCTACTCTGATAAAACCACTCTGGGCAAAGGTACTCACCTCTTTATTAATCCAGCTGCAGTGATGTCGAACATGAGATCAATTCACAGATGTTAGGACTGTGCTGAGCCAATCAGCAGCATCAGTTATGACATTGAATCAGGTGTTTTTTTCGCTCCATAGATGCGCCGTCAATTCACTGTGGTCGAGTACAGACTCAAGGATTAGTAACACTGTTGAATGCTCACTTAAAATATTTTATTACATTAGAAAAAGTACAATTCTTCCAGCACAGATGGGCTTTTCATCAGGTATACAGGTTTCAGATTTAGGTGTGTGTCACTGAATTTAACTTTCCTTGAGAAACACCATCGAGTATATGCTGTATGCCTAGTGTTAAATATACTGGCTGTTAATGGCAGTTCACTCCAGATCAACTTTATGTGAATCACAGATAAGCAAACAATCATGAATTACGATTTGATGCATGGTTTGTTTTCAGGGTCACTACCGCTACTGTGAGGCTTTGTTCAGCATGGGAGAGGTCAGAATGGCTGTTGAAGCCAACTGTTCAGCCCAGATTTTGTGCAGGGAGGATCATGAGGGATTCAAAGACCTGGAACAACAACACTCCAAGTTCATCACTGAAATGGCAGAAGGTATTTTCATGCCATTCATGTTCACACCTTGCATCACATTTGTTTTTTATTTTTTTGAAATGGCAAAGAGTGCCTGAAACTCTGTACAAGTAGTGCACACACACACACACACACACACACACACACAATACGTTACACTGTGTTTACTAGACAGATTTTCACTGGCATGAGTAGGCAGCTTTTTTACACCCAGGATGTCCACATCATCTTATTATGTAATGATCAGGATGGATATGTTGCTGCCAAAGAAGCATTTTCCCCATCTGATTACAAACCCTTTCAGACATGCATCCCTACACATGAATTATCCTGGTAGTTCACGTCTAGGCTTCATGTCTGAACAAAGCCCCAGTCCCATAGCTGTCAAAGTGTTACCAGCGGTTTTATCTGGCCAGGCCTAGTCACATATGTTCTTACTGGCTACATGTTTGAATTGAAGTGGTCAAATTGCCACTAAGGACATGCACAGCAGTGCCTCAGAATGTGTTCTTGCTAACGCTGCTGCATCTTTTCATTCACTCTCTAGCTTGCTCGACCACTGCGTCTGACTTTCCTTTCTTTCTCTTTCTCTGTCTTTGTGCACAGCAGCTCTGTGTTGGAACACTAAAACAGCAATTGCTACACGGCTACATGTAGCCTGCAAATGTACGGGCACCATGTCTAAAAGGGGCTTGAGATCTGATTGTTGCCTGTTGTTGAGAAAAACCTAAGATGTTTATTACTAATCTGGGTGAAATCATCCTTCATAGTTTTCTGTCTCTCAAACCTGAAATTCATATATATGTGCTCTGCTTTCAGCTGTGCCTCCAAAGAGTAAGAACAAAAGGTATGTGTGTGCTGCCATATACACATTATACAAATACAATTAATAAGTGCTGATAAAGTTATTGATGGTGCATTATGTTTTTTATGTAGACCTGGCAGTGCAAGCAGAGCAGATTCAGCAGAGTCACGACAACAGTCTGCAAAAACTGTTAGCTTTACAGCTGGTGCAGTAAAGAGCAAATCTCCACAGAGCACAGTTAGTAATGCTGTTCATGTTGCATACAGTCTTGAACAGTGGTACAATGGACACAAGCAATGTTAGACACAACACTGAAAGGTGAACAGTTTTGATGTAGTTCACAGTTAATAATTACTGTAACTTGTGTGTTGGCAGGTCACAGAGGTTAAAAAGGACAAACAAAAAGGTGAGTTTAATACCTGCTTATACATTTTCTTTTTGATCTCTTTTTTTGTATAAAACCAGACAATGTAACTCGGACAGAACAAGATTGATTCATATTGACATCGCAAATGTCAAAGTCTCTAAAGTTGTTAAAATTCAGTCCTATGAAAAGTTATGTTGAATTACAGGCTGGTCAGTGAAATGCTTTTGTTTTTGTTATTTGCATGTAATTTTGAGTAAGTTAAATTTAAGATGAATGAAAAATGAGGCAATGAGGAGAATTTTACACTCAATTAACCAGTGAGAAATACTTTATCAACATCATTAAGATCTCTATAGGTTTTGATTAGGGAAGTGACAGTCAATTTTATTATAGTGAATGTTTGCTGATGCATCTCTGCATTAAGAATATATGGCCAACTTCATAGCTTAACGGAGCACTGCCTTTTTTTGGTTCCAGCTTCTAAGTGGAGAATTCTTTGTGTTATTGTGAATTGAAGCTTTGGGTTTTAGATCGTTGATCTGACAATGCAAGACATTTGAAGATGTCACCTTTTGGGAAACCGTAATGCACATTTTTGAGTGTTATGTGATACTATTTAGAGCAAACAATAAAATAATTGGCAGACTAGTTCATAATAAAAATAATTAGTTGCAACTGTAGGTGTTTTGATTTCTCTTAGTGTGTTGTTTTAATTTATTTATATTTTTAATATCTGTGGAGTGAAAAAATGCCTTGATTTAGCCAGATCCGTCTTGTCCATCAGCTCATCCTTCAGTACAAGTATTAATGACTGTTCAGGTGATTGTCGTTTTATTGAACGCCATCATAACAGATCTGAAGTTTTTAAAATTTCATGGCTGATATCCTCTCCCCAGGGAAAAGTGGTTGGACTGCGCAGGAAGAGGGCACAGCTAGAAACTCTAAGTCCTCAGAAAGGTGTGTAAGACATACTGTTGCCATTATCGATATATATGTCACTTCTTAAAGATCTGTACTGTGATTCCACTAAGATCCCTACAAGCAGCACTTTCTGCACTAGCCTAGGAATGTTTTAGAATGCAATGTAAAAACACACACACAGAGATAGGAAGGTGTGAAAAACTGAAGACCATATATTTATGTGTGCTGTTAGTACCTAATGTCTGCTCTTATTTCACTTGATTTCACTTATATTCTGCTGCCTGTATTGACCTGCTACCGTAGTTTCCAGACTATAAGCCGCTACTTTTTTCGCTTTATGCACACACCCTCATCATGGAAAACACACAACGAAATGCATATGATGCAGCATTCAAGTTAAAGGCAATCGATTTGGCTGTCGAAATATCTCACATTACAACGTGGACACCTGCGGCTATGTACAAACTTTTCTCATTTTACATTTAGTGGGTGCGGCTTATATTCAGGTGCACTCAATAGTCTGGAAATTACGGTAGTTGACTTCATTATCAAACACAGAATAACAACGTGAACCGCAGCTTAGACCAGTATGTTGATACTGATATAATCATACAGTGAAGTCCCACTGAAGTCAAATAAAGGCTAGCAGAGGTGGGCTAACATGTGAGAAGGCTTCAAACAAGGGCTTTTTCAACCAGATAGAAGAATTGTCCCTTTAAACAATTTGTGGAGCACAGTGTGCTCTGGTTGTATTTCAGACTGTAGAGCTGATTCAAAATTTTGTGCTTCCAGTGAGTTTTTTATGAAGAATGAAAAAGAAGAGTCCAGCGCCACAACAAAGAATTCAGTGAGCAAAACATTCAAGTTTGAAGATGAGGTAAGGCTGTGCTCATCAAATGTATCTAAGGTATTCATTTTGGAAATGCTGCTTTGTTGCATCTGTCTTCAGTCATGGATGTGGTAACTTCTAAAGCTTTTCCAGTGCATGTGTGTCAGAACATGCCCCTGGAGACGCTCCTTGTATCACAAAGCATGAAGCTCATGAAAGCATGAAACTCACTGAGGCTGTTTTTTGTTGAGCATCACAAAAGTGTTAAGTCATTGTGTCAGCTCAGCCTCTTGCACACTGGATAAATGTAGCCACAGCTTAACGATATACCGTGTTAATTGTATTGTAACGTTTTAGCATAAATTAGTGTGCAGCTTTTAAGTCACAGTATCACTGAGTGAAATGACTGATCTGCTGTGATGTGCACCCTGTCCAGACCCAGAAAGTGGCCCACAATAAAGCAAGTGTGTGTAAAGAGTTGAGATCTGTGGTGCAGGATGCCCATACTGCTCTGGCCGATTTCCGCAGTCGCAACGCACAGCGGGCCTTCAGCCAGGCACTGGCCATACTGGAAACCAATGCACCCAAGGTAATGATACCACTGATATGCAAACCAGCACCGAAGCTGTAGCATGTCATGCTGCTACACAGATTGTGAGCGGATTCAGAGAACTATGTAATATGTGCAATACCTTTAGGTATTTTGATTGTAGGAGTTATGTGGATCTGGTTTGCAAAATAAAACATTATTCACCTTCCATGACAGTGATAGTTTGTCAACAAATGTTTACTGAGCTTTTAGAGTGACATCAGTCTCCATAAGGCTGCAGATTTGAGGAGAGGTATATTCACGTTTGTCCCCTCTGCTCCACCTAGACTACAGTATTAGTCTGTGGAGATGACATTTACCATTTAAATGCATTTAAACATCTCTTGTTTTATTTCTAGTCAGGGTCCTTTTGTTATATGTTGGCCCCCTTTCCTCCCCATGTTTCCTGTCAGGCAAAAATGCCCAGCTCCTGTGAATTTATTCTACTTTATGAATAAAGTGAAGAGCCATGTCAGAGTTAAGAAGCGTAATCATTTGTTTTCTGTTTGCTCTCAGGAACTGGGACTTTCCACACTGGATGTACTGTTGTTACTGTATGGTTGTGTATCTGCGCTAACAGAAATCGGCCAGCCTGAGGTAAATTCATCAGTTTAAAAAAATAAGCAGCAGTTAACTTTTTTTAAACGGTGGAACATTCTCCTTTGCCCATAGTAAGCACTAACTGCAGTTTATCAAAGGCTTTTGAGAAAAAAACACTTTCAGTTCTTGCACACATAATGGCATATCTGTGTGACACATGCATAGCAGAAACATTTATGCATCACATTGTTTCTGTGGAACAGATAATGAGGTTTGGCGTCTAAATTTGCAGATTGACATCTTGTATTGTCTGTAGCCCAAACCTTTATGGCATTGATTTCATATTTGTAATATATTAATGTGCATACAGGTGCCGCCTGTAAGTTTCATCATTAACTTATGTGCATTTACAAACTGCACTGATAGAGCTGGTTACTGTTTATGTTGACTTTGCAGAACTGCATGTACCTCAATCATAGTTGTGCTTGTGGTCCAGTTAACCCATTAAAACAATAGTTGCATAACCAAAAAGCTAGGCATGTTCCAATATATTTTTTTGTCATAGTCCTTTTATATTGGTTATCTGTCAATATATATCAAGTGTGACTGAATACTTTCATTTACTTAAATTCTGATTAAATATGTATCTAAAACACTGGGTTTCCCTGGAAAATGATTAGTGTCTAATCCGCAGCATTGATTTTACAAGTCCAGCTGGTCAAGACAAACTTTCAGCTTGATGCCAATTTAAGCTCAGACCCTGATTTACAGTGCTGTTGAGGTTTTTTTTTAATCTTACACATCATCACCTGATTATAAAGTTTTACCTTTTCCAGATGTGGTGACATGCTGCTTGGTTAGCCAATCACCTTCTGAGCTGAATCAGCAGATCTAGTAATCAAATGACTGTTTGGTCTCTCTCATTAAATACTTGACCATTTCTCTGCATTCTAGCTCATCAGCTAATCTTCCCTAAAGCATAATACGTTTAATATTCATAAAAATGTATATTGATGCTTGAGTAATGTTTTTGCAGTTGTTTTATGTGTGGTTTCTTTGTGTCACACAGGAACTTGCAGTAGCACAAAGACTTCTGGAGAAGATGAAATCATTTGAGGAGAGGACCTTCCAGTGTCTGGTTTATTATGCCATTGGCAGGGTGTTTCTCAAAGAGAACAGGTACAGTAGCTCCCAGTCTTTACAGGTTTGTGTCGCAGATTCACTTTGTTTTTGCTTCAGTCTGTACAACATGTACTCCTCCCCTGGTTACAGGTTTGCAGTTGCTCTGGAGCAGTTTTCAGATTCCCTGCAGATGGTAAAGAATCAAATAACACCTGGTAAACTCACATGGCCTTTAACCAAAGAGATTGTCAAAGAAACACAACCAGACTATTTCAAGGTATGTTGTCAATATAGGTTTGTGTCTGGAAAACAATTTTACAGTTGTCAAATGTTTAGTCTCATGCAAGTGATAGAACACAAGGAGAACCCTTTAAGATTTTTTTTTTTCTGTATCATAGTATTCACCTCCTTCTTTGTGACACCAGAATCATTGCTGATTTAGCCAGTTCTGTTTTGTCTCTGATAGCTTGTGTGTAATCAAGTTAGGGCACAGAGATATTCAAGGATTAAAGGGCACTTTGTCATTTCCAGGCATTTCCATGACAGGAACAAAATTGGGTACTCGGGTCCCAAAAAAGAAAGCAGATCTCTCCAGTAATAAATAACATACTAAACATGATACACACATGCATATAAAACACATAATAAAAGAATTTAAAAATATAAAAACTACTAATGCAAAAAACCCTACTAATGGCAGTGGTTCTGTAAATGACAGCAGTTCAGGTTTTAGCAGCATTATATTGAATGTGTGTTAACAGGGGTGCTTTTTTTCAATAAACATTGTGATAATCATCACAACCAGATCTTGGCATATTCTGAGCTGTTAGGTCAGCAGACCAGTTTTAAGTACTGCAAGAAGGAAGTATTCAAACATACAGCTGCAAAGGGCTGCAAGCAAGAGGCTGCTTCTACTGTAGTGTGTGACCTACACATCTCCAGGTCATCGGGCTTAAACAAATTTACTTTGCTGTGTGGTGCAGTGGAAAAACACAGTGTGACTACATCTCTTACTATGGAAAAGCACGTTGCTGTGTATTTTACACAGTGAAAAAGCCTTTGCAACTGAAGAATCTATGAGCTTAAATATTGTTGTTTTTTTTTTTTTGTTTTTTTTTGGCCATTAGGGTTTATTCAAAATTTGAACATTCATTCAAACGTGGTTTAAAAAAAAAAAAATCTGACTGTAATGACCTGTTCAAATCCAAAAATGTACTGTATGTGGGTTGTGTTTGAATGAATTACATGTCTTTTCGAACATCATTCCAGTGAGATTTTTGGAAAAAGTGAAAGCCCTATTGGCTGTGCTGCTTAGCTTTTAATCAAAGTGTGACATATACATAATGCAAAGATCAGTTCATGGCTTGTCAGAAAATACATATAGATACTGTTAATTGCAAAGGAGTAATCACAAGGACATTATAAACAACATCGACACAGGTCTTTGCTGTTGATGAATGTCAAATTATTAAATCTACTACTGGGATTCAGTAATGTAAGTGTAATAACAGCTGAAAGGTGCCACAAGTTGGTTGACTCCATGCCACACAGATGTGAAGCAGTTATAACAAACTGTGGTCATACAACTAAATATTAGTTTAGTGATTCACAGGATTGCTAAATCCTAGAAACAAAAACGTTTGTACAACATAGTTTTGTGTTTGTACAGTCAACGGCAGACACTGCTATTTTTTTGAACACACCCCTTTCAACTAATTGCCCAATTTCACAGCCTTAAGAGCGTGCATATCATGAATGCTGGGTCTTGTTTGCTTTCTGAGAATCTACTGCACCTACTGGTAACTTGTTTGCCATGTAGCAATAAAAAATATACTAAAAACCTGGATTATTCTGGTTAGTCACATTGTACTGCTATTATTTTGAACAATACTGTATAAATATTTAAACATGTATCAATGAAAGCTCAAATAATGTAAAGCATAAATCAAGCAGTTCACTCAGCAAATAAAACTGTACTGTATTTATGGCTCAGATTTATATGTCTGTCTTACATTAGAAGTAAAGATTATAGATTAGGTACATCCAGGTTGTCTGACTTGTTTTCTCTTTTTTTAGGAAATTCTGGAGAGCGCTATAGAGTTGTGCAAATTTCCTCCTATTCCTGATGCCATTTGTCGACTTGAGAAATGTGTTAGCCATTTGAAAGCTGAAATCTACTTCACTGATCCAGATTTTAAGGTAAATAGCAGCAGTGAAACACATCCAGGAGTTAAAATATTAAAAGCATGAATGAAGTTTAAATGTCTGGACTTCTTCATTAGGGCTTCATTCAGTTATGCTGCTGTGAGAGGTGCACTGTTGAGTACCACATTGCCTGCTGGAAGGCCCTCAAGACATCAGCCTTCTCTGAAAAGAATGAGAAGGTAAATGGAGATTTCATAACACCATTTCCTAAAAGGCAAAGATCTATGTATTTCCAGAATAGGTTTGTATTTTCCCCCCCATTTCCCTCTGCTTCCAGTCTTAACTTGTATATGTTGTTCTTTGTGTTGCAGGATTTCCTCCAAGAAGCATGTTTGACTCCAGACTGTGTCGGCCAGATCTGTATTATCAAAATCTTTGGTCCAACAGGCCTGATGAAATGTAAGGTAAGACAAGTCTCTCGAGGTGACGTGAGCTTTTACAGTCACTGTGCTCATGAATGTGACAGGGTTGGTGTTCACTTGATTTTTCTCTCTTTAAGTTTGAAGCCAATATTCCCAAACCACAGACTCCAAAGATGCAAAAAGTGAATCAGAAATGTACAAGGTGAGGCTGCAATCAAATACAATTCATGCTGGTGAACAGTCAGTGAGTTAATGAAGGTCTAGGCCCTTTCTCACTTAGTTGATCATCTTTGGTTCATTATAAAGGTTTTGTGATGTACTTTGTATCTAAACTCTGTTTTTCAGTCTCAAGAAGTTAAAGTCAAAGGAAGAACGTAAACTCAAGAGGAAGCAGCATAAAGCGTCATTTCAGGAGAATCAGGTTATCAATGATGAGATTGTGCAGAAGAAAGAAGACTCGGCATCTCAGACTCAGCAAAAAGGTACTGCTGCAAACATTGTCACATCTACACAGCAGGTCTGCAACATTTTGCTTTTCTAAATGTGGAACTCTGTCAGTCATCAATGTGATTCATTATATTTTGGTCTTCACAGTAGATCGTCATATTGGGGGAAAACTGTTGCAATTTGTAACAGGTAGCAAAAACCAGAGTAGACCTCTTTCATTTTCCCCTTCATTTAAACTCAGGTTATTAGAAGTTTTATTTATAAGATTTGATGAAAGCCTGCCTAGCAGTGGATTTTTGAAACAGTTACTGAGTTTGAATTATACAAGTCTGGTACAGTATTTTGGCTATAGACTGTGCAGGTGTATATGGTGCTCCAATGAAACAACTCAGCTATTTGCTTTTTTTTTTTTTTTTTTACCAAGACATGTCAGTTTTACAGACATTTTACAGTTGGAAAATGTTGTCAGTACTATATGATGGACAGATTGTGTAATGGAGACACTGATTCTCACGTCAAGGATATCTTTGCTGTTTCTGTCTGTGGGCACTTGTTTTTCAACTGATGCTAAAATGTCTGTTACAGTTGAACCAGTTTAACTAGTAAACTTGCCAGTAAGGCTTTTGAAGATTGAGATTTTCTTTTTCTAGGACATACAGTATTGTTCAAAATAATAGCAGTACAATGTGACTAACCAGAATAATCCAGGTTTTTAGTATATTTTTTATTGCTACATGCCAAACAAGTTACCAGTAGGTGCAGTAGATTCTCAGAAAGCAAACAAGACCCAGCATTCATGATATGCACGCTCTTAAGGCTGTGCAATTGGGCAATTAGTTGAAAGGGGTGTGTTCAAAAAA